AGGCTGGACTGAGGGACACTCCCCCCACCCCCATGCATGAATTTTGTGCACCGGGCCTCTAGTTTCAAATAAAATCAATTTCTTGGGATAGAGCTTTAGAACTCTCTGTACTTAAGAACTGACTCTCCCTTTTGTCAAGGACCTTGAACCACTGGGCAGGGATGGTAGCCTCATCCCTGGTCTTATCATCTTCTCAGCTTGCTTTCTGGGCACAGACCCTCATCCCTATAGTTAAGTTGGATGAGGGCCACAAGGGCCTCACTGTTCCTAGCTAGCCACAGTGGTATAGAGCCTCCGGTTTATGAATGGGGGCTGGATGGACAAAGGGAACCCCTGCCATCTCAGCCACACACCCACCAGAAATTTAACCTCTACGCCTTGGAGTTAGAAGGAATCACAAATGTTACTGGCCCACCCCTTTAGGTAAGTTACTATATCCCATGATGGGAGCTGGGAGCTGGGGAGAGACAGAGTCCCATCCTCTGGGGCACACCCACCTAGAGTGCAGTTTCTTTCCAGTGGAGCTGGGGAGGAAAGGGAGGGAGGGAACATGTCATGGCCCCAGGGCCCTAGATTCTCTCTGTTCTTACATGTTTTCGTACATTTTCTTGAATAAATATTTCTTCTGTATGTTTTTGAAACAATTTCCGAGACTCTAAATCAGCGGTTCTCAACCTGTGGGTCGCGACCCTTTTGGCGGTCGAACAACCCTTTCAAAGGGGTCGCCTAAGACCATCCTGCATATCAGATATTTACATTATTATTCATAACAGTAGCAACATTACAGTTATGAAGTTGCAAAAAAAATAATTTTATGATTGGTTCACAACATGAGGAACTGTATTTAAAGGGCCATATATATATACACACACACATATACACACACACACACACAGACACACATACATACATATGTACATACTAGTATATATACGTTGTATTTGTTTGGCTTGGGATAGGGTCCATGGAGTGTCTTTACATTGCCATTCTGGAAGTGGAACCCCCAGGATTATGTTTTAAAAGACTGTGTCAAAGAAAGACCGGCTTCATCACACACTTCAATTCCCTTATCTATAAACGGGGATCATAATCCACGCCACGCTGCTCAGGTCAGAGTAGCACAGAATAACTGTTAGTTTTTCTCCTTTCCCTCCTCTTATCTCACTTTTGGGACTTAGAGAAGTTCTAGTTGAATAAAGGAGTCTGCCCAGTAATGCATTGATCGGCTTTAAGAATTTTAAGACTCCAAGAAAGTGTTTCAAGTAAAGTGAGAAATATACTTAGATACTATTTAAAAAATGATCTTCAGACCCAGACCAGGGTTCTTTTAGAGGTTTGCTTCAAGGTCCTTTCTTCTCTCCCTCCCTGTTTTCCTCCCTCCTTCCCTCCCTCCCTTCCTCCCTCCTTCCTTCCCTCATTCTGTCCTAACTCACTTCCCTCCTGCATTATAATCTTTCACCAACATATGAGAATCACTGAGTAGAAATTGAATGATTGAACAGTTAAAAGAATAAAATTCAATCGTTCTGTATAATAATTTTCGAAGACTGGGCAGTATTTTCTCTGAGCTATGTGTTTATATAAGAGTCTGGCCCGTGGAAAAAACCCACATAGATAGATAGATAGATAGATAGATAGATAGATAGATAGATAGATAGATTTTCTTTCTATTTTCTTTTCATGAAAATCATTTCTACTGTCACTCATTCATTTAATAAAGATGATTTAATGCCTGTAATGTATGTGGCATTTTAGCCCTGTATTTTAGCCCTAGCACACATCTTAAGAGATGAAAGCCCTAGCTGGTTTTGCTCAGTGGATAGAGCTCAGTGGATGGAGTTGGCCTGCAGACTGAAGGGTCCCGGGTTTGATTCCGATCAAAGGCACATGCCTGGGTTGAGGGCTCAATCCCCAGTAGGCAGCAGATCAGAGGCAGCTGATCAATGATTCTCTCTCATCATTGATGTTTCTGCCTTTCTCTTCCTTTCCCTTCCTCTCTGAAATCAATAAAAATACTTTTTAAAAAAGAGAGATGAGATAGGATTTGAGAACCTGGTCAGTCAGCATATGTCTTACAAGCCAAAACAATATTGCAGTGTTTTCTCACTTTTTGTGTAGCTTATTGACCTACTAAGTTTAAATAATCAGGAGGAACAATATGGATGTGACCCTAGGAAAGATGGCAATTAATACTCAATTTTACTCCACCTCATACCAGCTTAAGAGCTGTCCAAGGACAAAGAGTGTTTTGTTTTTAAGTTCTCATACAATTAATGTTGAGCAACCAGAATCTCTTAAAATTGATTTCTAGAATGCTACAAACTTTTTGACTTTCTTGAAAGGTCTAGAACCAATCAGGGATAAATTCTAATAGAGTAAAAGAGAGGATGAGGATGATAAAAATTCACCTGAAAATTCTATTTAGAAACCCAACTATCTTCTTTTATAAAGAATTCGGATACTTGGAAAAGATTTCAAAATGAAAATACAATTTTAAATCAAAACTAGGAGGATTTTATGTGAAAGGAGAGTTACATTATTTGGTTTAGCAGATTCATATTGATTCCTTACCACGTGCAATATTAGGAAGAACATTCCTACATTCAAGAAATAAGCCTTGTATGCTAATAACTATAATGTTAGACAAAAAAATAGTTATTCTAATAGCCTAAAAAATGCCACTTAAGACAGATAAGGAAGAGATTCATTCCTGTTAGGGGATTAGAAAAGATTTCACAAGGGAAGTGCCATCTGATTCAAAACCAAAGAAGGGACAGAAATGTGGGAACAGAATAAAACCAACTGAAGTATGTTATAGGCTGCCTTCAGAGACCAGCCAGTAATCCCACCTGACTGGAACCCCGGGGAAAAGGAAATCAAGGTGGTTTATTTGTAATCGATCATAAAAATGCCCCAAAATATTATCAAAGAAGTTGAGAGTTTATTTTGAAGCCAACTGAAAACCAGGGAAGAGTTTGGGGAAAGGAAGTAATTATCAAAACAATATCTTAGAGAACTTATTCTGACACTCACACATAAAATAGATTTTTAAAATATTAGAGGTAGAAAGACCCGTGTAGAAGCCACTGTTGCATGGGCCAGGTGGCTGGAACTAAGATCACAGAATTAAAGTCAATCAAAGTTCCATACACGTGAGACAGGAAAAAGAATCAAGGGAGCAGAGGCCAGAGACACTGTGGTGAGGGATGGTGGGAACTTGGGGACTGGTGTCCGCAGCGAAAGAGAAAGTGTGCTAGGTGCTTTGAGGTTTAATGTCTGTGTGTCAGGGAGGTTGACAATGTTCTTAAAAAGAGAAAGGAAACAGAGAAAGATAAAGTTTGGGGAAAGAAGGAAAATGATATTTCATTTATTCAGTAAATATTTATTGAGCACCTACTATGTGCCGAGCACTGTTCTGGGGAGGGCGAGGGGAGGGGAGAGTTACCTTTAATTTTTAAAACACACTGTTCCCAATCTGTGGGGACTCCAAAGGCAGAGCTGGAGCCAGTGGGTAGTCAAGTAGGAAGTAAAATAGCTTTCTAATAAATGGAGTCCTCTTGATAAGTAGTGAGGGCTCCGTTAGAGGCAGTATTCAAGCATAAATTAGATGATGGGCTCCCAGGAACACTGTAACAAGGGGTTCCTGTGGTAAGGGGGAGGTGAGACTAGCCTTTCTGCGAGTTCTTTCCCAGTCTTAAGTAAGAGTCTGTTCTTTCTGATGATCTAGTCCTCTGGGTTCTATTATTAATCTCTCGTTTCTCTCAATTATTAAATAAATTACTCAATCTGTCTGCCATTCAGTAAAACTCACACATTTACATCTGTTATTCTTGAATTCTTTTTGGTGAGGGCTCCTTTTTTTATTAAACAATTCTACCCAGTAATGTTACCTTTACAGCACATTTAAGATGGTAACCCTGGTAGACTAGATTATAAATATCAGAGGGGAAAAGGATTTCTTATGCCTAATAATATTTTTGTTTAGAAGGAGCCATGCAAACAAGAAACGAATTATCTTGACTTCGAGATTGCGATGCAGTTTCTGTATGTTACAGTAATTCAAAATGAAAAAGGAATCTCAGAGATGTTCCTTTATATATATAGCCTGCAGAAGAAAGAGAATAATGATTCTCCACACATGCTAAAGCTTTAGATCAGAAACATTTATCTCTGCTGCATTTTAAGAAGAAGAAAGGGAAGGGAAGAAAAGGAGAAAGGGAACCTGTCATGAGCTCTGCTAACAGCTAGGGTTAAAGCTTTGCATTTCCTGGTGTCTTTTGAAACGTAAAATTCCACAACAAATAGCTCTGTAATGTATCACCAGTATGAAGATGCAATTCAGATTTAAGCGTTTTGGTTTGCTTTTGAATCTTGCTATTTTCTGCATTTGTTTTGACTGCTCTCATCATTCAAGATTGACGCTTGGATGGGCGTGTAGGAGGAAGCAGCTTACAGCTTGCAGACAAAAAAAAAATCTGCCTTATCTGATGGCTATTATTGAAAATGCGAGGTGTAGCCTGGGCTGGGTAATGAAGGGGAGCGAGCGAGGGGGAGCAGGGAGCATGGAGCTGCATATTGATGAGTGTAGGAGTACTTGATAAAGAGAATTCTGGCTGCTGGCCGTGCACTGCTCATTGTGGAGTACTCCAACAATCACAGAGCACGCAGACCCAGCCTCGGCCGACAGCTTGCTATGCCTTCTACCGCTGCCTGGTTCTGGGGGCTGTATGGCGTCCTGGTCGGTAGTAAAGATTAATATGTGAGAAATGTGGAGCTAGGATCAAGTCAGACTCCACAGCCTGCCTGGCAAACTATGTGTTACTTCTGACTTTGCTCTCTCGCGCGCCGGGAACGCTAATCTGTCAAGCTGGCGGGCTCCTTTGATAGCAACTTTCCCAGGAGCATGATGTGGCAATGCCACCTCTCAGCCCAGGACTACCGCTATTACCCCGTGGATGGCTACTCCCTGCTTAAACGCTTCCCTCTTCATCCTCTCACAGGACCCAGATGCCCCGTCCAAACAGTGGGACAATGGTTGGAAAGCATTGGGCTACCTCAGTACGAGAACCACCTGATGGCTAATGGATTTGACAATGTGCAGTTTATGGTAAGACGCTCTCTGTGGTCACAGAGCTGCCTTTTGTCTGTCTTTGCTTCTCATGTGTCTGACATGGCTCAGAAGCAGCCCGATTTGCACCAAAACCGGTCAGTTTTATATCTGTGGCGGCATCGGGAAAGGGGATGCCCTCAGGGCTGAACTTACTGTGTACATAGAGACACTTGCTGAGAAATGAGATCGAGAGGCGTCCATGTGCGTGTGTCTGATATGAATGAACCGGTGAGAGGACTATTTATAGGCAGCGAGAGGCGATGAACATTTGTGTCCTCCCTTCCATTCTTTGTGTGATTTTTATAAATTTGTAGTTTCTGAATTCCCCGGGGTCGATCCGCCCCTCTTCAATGGATTCTGGGTGCCTAAAGACATAGAATTTCGTGTGAGCATCAGCAGTGAGGGATTCAGTGGACAACGTATTATGTTTACAATGTGAAGATCATTTGTTTCCTGATCATTGTTCGATAGGCAGTTTAAGTGGTGTTATCGAATGACCTTTAGTTCCTTAGCAAACTGTTTCAGACAGTCCATTCTGGAGAGGATTCACTTACACGTGCTGATTGAGGAGCATGGAAGTAATTGTTTGTTACTTTAGGGGAAAAACAAACACTTGCATCAGTTAGCTGTCAATATTCAGAAGGAGAGGCTAATGGGCTGAGCACATGCATGTACTTCTGAATACTCGTCTGCATGCAGTCAAACCCAGTGCGGTGTGTGCGAACTTCTCACGGTGGTGAATATAGGTGAGGAAGGAGGAGAGGGAGAGGTGCAGACGGGCGATCCAGCTTTCTAATCATTCACACGCCTCCCTCAGTGCTCATCACTTTCCCTTGTTAAGCTACGTCACCATCCTTATTACCTTACCTTGCTTTTAAGGTCCCATCACACATATTGCCTATCCCTAAATTCAGAGAGAGAGAGAGCTTCCTAACATAGGCATGTAGCACGCAAATGTAGAACTAATGAATAGCTATTTCTAAATAAATTGCTGGAGCCGACACCTGAGGCTTATTAACACCAGAACTGATAACAAAACACGGAGAGCTAGTTATGTCTTTTTATCTCCATTGGAGATTCTTTTTCTCCAAGCCTGACTTGACTATTATTACAGATTTGAAAATCATTCAAATTGTTCAACTTCTGCCTCTTCTCCAAAAAAGGTGTATGCCCCATGAGCTTTTTATAAAAAGCTACTAAATGCATCAAAACAGATGAGCTCTAGGTAATTGTATACAATGAACTCTTTATGAACCTATTTTTTTTCTTTTTTGCAATGAGCGGTGTAGCTAATGCATTTTTCTCATGTTTAAGAATACCACCACTAATTAGACAGGAACGATATTGTGGGTATTAAAATAGGAGTGAAAAAGTAAAATTTTTTCAATTGTTCTGAGAGTCTTAGGATACTGACCAGATTTAGGACACTACACAGATGACACCAAGAACTAGAGGGACTCTCAAACAGAATGAAAATCTTTGCATCGTTACTTATGTTTACTGCACATTTTGACAAGCATGCTTTCTCCCTCTCTCTACTTAAGATAAGACTTTCTCATACCTGATCCTCAAACTCTCGTCCAAATTTATTCTGGTCCCATGAGAAGTGAGGTAGGTTTTTGGGTTCTCTGGAATATTTGGCTGCTTTGAAAGATTTTAATTCAGCATAATTTTCCCCTGAATTTTAAACACTTTTCAGCAAATATAATCCCCCTTTGAAAGCCTGGAACTGAAAGGTTAATCAAACAGGTTTCAAATAAGCATTTGGAGATCGTAAAAACATTCATGGATGAAATATGTATGAGCACTCCAAAATGCATCTGGAAGGCAAAAACCCTGTACCTACATAACAAAACCAAGGTCTGATCTCCTCCATAGATTATTTTTTTCAATTCTAAGTATTCCCAGGATTGTGTAAAATTTTCCAGAAATTAAGAAAACATGGTTAATTCAGAAAAGTCAGTCAAATACTTTTTTCATGGGACAGAATCAATTTTAAAAGCTTTGAATTATCATTTAGAGGAATTAGTTAATTATGAAAAGGAAGCAAATCATAAAATGGTTGTCATCAATTATTGCTTTAAATGCTATCAATCATTTATTTGCTACTACTATCATAAAAAATCTATTTCTGCCTTTATAAAAATTATTTCTTGATCTCCATAATCTAATTTATTTCATTATGAACTTTGTTAAAGTACACTGATATGCTCAGGCCATTTTAAGAAACAGATTTCATTAATG